GGCTTCCACCAGTCAGAGAAAGGAACAAAGAAGAGCAGGAGTGGAGGGGAGAAGGAGAGCCTTCGGAGGTCAGAAGATCAGGACGGAGAGACGGAATGCCTCTATCAGAGCTGCAGCAGATAGAGTGGGGGATCTCATTTCCTGCTTTGGGAGGGCAAGTGTGCAGTAGTGAGAGCAGCTACCGGAGGAAAAGGGGACAAGTTTCAGGACAAAAGTCTACCCTGGTGAACACGTCCAGGGATTTTCACCCCCAAATACAGAGGGAAGCTCTAACTGGTATTTATTCAAGTCCTCTGATGACAGATCAGATTCCTGAGGTCTGGAAAGTGTTACATATCATTATTCCAAACAGGGCTGTGAGATAGAGCAAGCAATTACAGGCCATTTAACTTAACATAGTTTACGGAAAAATATTAGGAAAAGTTTGTGGTGGGGGACAGCGGGAGGGACAACTCGACAAGCATATGGTGATCTGATTAGAAACAGTCCACAGGTTTTCACTGGGGGAGGGAATCACTTGAGCTTGCTGGTCAGACTTCTTTGAAGTAATTGCTTTCCTAGTCCTAGATTTTAACCCATGATTTTTTTTTTTTTTTGCTAATATCATGGGTTAAAATCTAGAACTAGATTTTAAAGATTAGGAATAAATATAAGGTTTCTACGTAAATAAAACAAAAACCAAGCACAACTTAGAACACTGGAAATACAACAGGGAGAAAAGTAAATTTTAAAGACAAATGGTATAGCAATGAAAAACAAGTTAGTAAATATCACCTAGTAGAGTTTTTTTTAAAATATTTATTTTTTAGTTTTCGGCAGACACAACATCTTTGTTTGCATGTGGTGCTGAGGATCGAACCTGGGCCGCACGCATGCCAGGTGAGTGCGCTACCGCTTGAGCCACATCCCCAGCCCACCTAGTAGAGTTTAAACCGAAATATATTTTGAGGAAAATAATTGATTTGGGCCTGTGAATGTATCCATCACCCCAATTCCTACAAGTGCTCTGTAGACAAAAAGGATTTTGTTTATTTCAATGAAAAAGTCTTATTATTTTTTATTTTTTAGTGAACCAACCATATGATGTGGTTAAAAATCTGGCACATGTAAGATGAATATTCCACTAATCCTTCCTTTGAGAATTTTCCAAGTTAAAGTTCTCAAAGAAAAAGAGGATATCTTTGTGGTTATTTTAAACTACACAATAGGTCAGTACCAATTTTCTCATATTTTTATATTTTCATATCACTGAATAGCTACTGAACCTTCAGAAAGATTCCAAAAGAATGAGAACCAAGACAGAACAAGTACATATTAATGTTTGCTAGAAGTCTCCATCAGCCTTTGTTATCCACTTATCACTGGTTAACCTGCACAATTCATTAATGATGTCCTACGTTTCCAAAGGTTCTGGACTCTAGGAACTGATATCATCCTTACCTCTACAAGGGAAGGAGCCACATGTGTCTTGTTCACACTTGTATTCCCAGGGTCTAGCACAGTGTTTATTAAATATTCAGTGAGTGAATAAATAAATAACAACAGAAACAATATTAGGTATTTACTGTGTGCCAGACACTGTATAATGGACTCTGTCAAATCTCCAGCAATTCTTTGAAAGAAGTTTTATTATTAACCTTACTTTTAACAATGAGAAAACAGATGCACTGAGAAGTTAAGTAACTTGCCTAAGGTCACACAGCTAGGCAAAAACAGGTTTTGAATTTAGGTAGTCTGGCTCAAAGTCCTACATTTTTTGAGGGGAGGTGTTCTCAGGACACAATGTTACTACTTCTCCAGAAATGAGTATATTCTGTAATAAATATGTGGGATAAACCTATGTATGTACAAGTAACCATATACAAGGAAGGAATCTTTTTGTTTTGTGTTGCAATGCTGGGGATGGAATCCAGGGCTTCATGCATGCTAAGGCACTCCCAGGCCAAGGCACAAGTCTTAGGTCGTACAGAATTCCAAGTATTAAGATTGCCTTCAGCAAATACTGGAATTCAGAGTCAATGAGAATTTAAAGTCTAATTTCTAAGATTAAGCTATCTGAAGCAGCAAAACTCCTAAACATCTAAAGGAAACCCCAAAGGCTTATAGGTTAAGAACCATTAAATGGGGCTCCATTCAGTTCTAATTGGATGCTGAAGTCCTTGGTCCAGAATAAAAACATTCCAAGTTGGAACAAGAACAAGATTTAATGGTTAGCATTGGATAAATCAATGAGGAAAAAAATTATCAGCACATGCAGAACCATGTTCTACATGGTCTCACTGGTGGCCTCTTTTGGATGAGTAACCGACTTTGCTGAGCAAAGGGACTTACTTAAGACTAGGCTGAGCTTATTAAAAAAAATAACATAAAGCTCTAATTCCTATTAATTTTGCTTTAGGATATTCATGTTATGAGACCTGATGTTCTCATCATATTTTATTGTTTTCAAATTTTCTTCTTGGTAGTTTTTTTCTATCAGTCATTCTGGAATCATTTAACTGTAAGAAAACCTAGTTTATGCTTTTTAAAATTTGTTTTCTATTTTTTGGCCTGGCGATGGAACCAGGGCTTTCAGCATACTGAAACGTGCTCTACCCATGAACCATTCCCCTTGGGCCAAGTTTATGCTTTTAGCTTCGAGTGCCTCTATATACTGAAGATCTTGGGGGATAGATGACCAAAGTTGATCAGGAGAACAACTTTCTATGAAAGGAGAACAAACTTTCATAGAATCAATCCCAGGAAGAATGAAAAGAAATCTCTGGCTTGTGCAGAATAGACTGTTCTAGATGCCTTTGATAGGAAGAATGGTCATCCCAGAGGAAAACTCCACAGAAGACATCATGTTGTTCCAGTTTTAGGGGAATTTCCTTCTGAGGAATTAGGTTAAAATTTGTAATATCACTATACAAGAAAAGTACACCCAGTGGAATACCAAGTTGAAGTGGAGTGAAAGTAATTAATGCAGCCTAGAGGCCTAGAAAGATAAAACATAGTTTAAGATCCAAAATCAGGAGGGAAATGGAATCTCAGAGGAGAGCTAGATGGGTTGTTAAAAAAAAAAAAAAAAACAGGCATATGAAATTAGACACCACTCTTATGTTCAAACAATGCTAGTGTCAACAGAGTTGCAGAACAGGTATGATGATAGTGCTTGAATGAACAAAAGAAATGGAGGAGGGGCATAGTGTTGCTGCAGGAAAGAGGGTCCATGGGGATTCAAGAACAAGTCTTGTTAGTCTTAGGGTCCCTTTCCTGTTCAGCAAATTCTTTTGTTCAGTGTCCTTATCAATCCCACACCTTGCCTAAGTGAGAATGACAGACAAGCCATTCTTAATGACTTCCTAGCTTTTGAAACTATTTTGGGGTCAAGTGAGAGAAAGAGCCACATTTGAGCTCTTGTAAGCACTCGGGTTTCTTTTGGCTTCGTTAATTTTCCACTCTGAGATGACTATTTTTGTTTGTGAGCAGAAAAACGAATTTGCACATATATGTTATCTGTGCAATGTTCCAGAAAAATGATGCCCTTGTGGCACCTCATGGGGACAGGGGAAACAAACAGCAGTGTGGCTTGGGACTCTAGACAGGCAGTCGGTGCTGTGTCAGCAGCAATGTGGCTGGTATCTTCCTCCTCCAGGGACAGGGCACATCCTCTCTAGGCACACCCACTCACCATTAGCACCAGGAACAATTGTTGGCTATGTCAAAGCCTGGGCCACGCCCTGTGCCGGGACAATGCAGGACCACACAGCCCTGCCTCTCCCAAGCACTGGCTGCTTCCTTTGCCTTTTCTCCCCTCCTGTGTGTACCAGAGCACAAACTACAGATTTTTTTTTTCTGTTTGAAACAACAATTTTAAAGGGTATTTAATGACTACATATTCACATTTGATTCTTCTTTTCTCTGGCAGTTTCTTAATCGCTGAAAGGCTGTATAACCAGAAAGAAAATTGGTTCAAAAACAGGAAAGGAATTCAAAAGGATTCTACCTTCACAGTTAATGTGCACTTCATTTGGTGATCATCACATTACAATGCTGCAGTCTCAAGATGCGGCTTCCAGTTATCTTTGTATATTTCTATTATATTTAAGATCTTGTATTTTGTCACCATAGTGAGAATAGACCACATTAAAGTAACAACACTAAGCTACATGTTTTCATAAATTCAGGAAAAGAAGATATTACGCACTAATAATATATACTATTGATACTAATGATCTATGGGTTATTTCTTAATAAAGAAACTTCTGTACTTATAAATTTATTCATCCATCAACCCATCAGTCAGTATTTATTAAACACCTACATTGTTATACTCTTTTTTAAAAAAGTCCCTATCTTTAAGTAATTCAGAGTTTGATAAAGGAAGAAAGACATGAAAACAAGTGATTATAATAAGTACTATAATAGAATCATGCACATCAGACAATGTGGATACATAGGAAAGGGGAGAAATTACAGTGGTAATGGAGTATTGGTCAGAAAAGGCTTCATAGACTGGGTGGTACTTGAGGTGAGTCTTTAGTCTGTTTATCACTTAGGTATGTCTGTGAATATGTCTTGTATGGGTATGCATGAATGTGAGTGTATGTGTGCATATGTGCAAGGGTGCAGAGGCTCAGCTGGAGCATCAAGTGATCCTCCAGATCCCACAGACCCTGAAGGTCCAGAGCACCTGACTTATAAAGTTAGCATTGGAGATCAGCCATCAGAACAGACTAATGTGATGGGATGTGCCCATGCTATCAGCCTCCATTTCTGAGATCAACTATTTCCTTGGGTGTGTTTTACTCTTGTTTTTCTTAATAGAGTCATGGATTTTTGTGGTGATAATGATATCACAAATTTAATTCCCGTGTTCTGGTTTGGGAAATGCCTGCAGAAGGATACCAGAGAGGTGCACAAATGGCTTTGAAAGTTGGCAATAGGCATTCAATGAGAGTATTTTCCCAGTTAGTGGCCAAATGTGACCACACACTGGGCGATGAGGGAGACCTTACCACTTCAGTTGGTCTGTAGTATTTGAGATCCACAGTCACGTGAACTTTGCCGGTCTCTTTACATCTGCCCACTTCGTTTTCATTCTTTCCTTCCCACCTGTAAAGAAGATAAACACTTAATCAGCTCCTAATTGCTTGGGAGCATCTGGCCACAGTGCAGACCTTGAGATGGCTGCTTTCTCCCTGCAGGAGGGGAGAAGCTCATTAACTGTAGGAGGACAGGCCCGTCTAACCCTGTCATTAGAGCAACAGTGCTTTTCAAAGCTTTTCTAGGTCTACTTTGAAAGGGAAGTTTTCCCACTTTTTAAAAAAATGTCATCAATTCAGTAGTGAGGCTATAGAAATGAACAGATTAGTTAATAAAAGGAACTTGGTAACTTTTAGGGATTTCAAACATTTTGCTCTTTTTCAGCCCCCTCTTAATAAAGACAGTTATTTGGAATTAATATCTTTTGTCCTCCTGCCTTTATTTTTCCCTTCCTTTTGTACTTTTTGAGATATTTAGTGTCAACTCAATGTATTCCGTTTGAGGATAAGTTCCATATCCTAAATGATGACTCAATTCATTTCTGTATTATGTACAAGTGCCCCTGCCCTCCTCAGTCAGCAGTGGGCCTTGTTAATAAATCTCAGATGATTAAAACTCTAAAAAGTGCACAACTAATTGTTTGTTTCCTGCTGAGACAGGGTGCATCAGCATCTCCCTACCATGTGCTCCGCTGACTTGACTATTAAGAGTCATATTGTTAAGAGTCCCGTTTCCTTCCCTAAATACCCACAGTTGACAACAGTATAGATCCATCACGATTCCTCAAGTGCACATTTTTCCAGGACACGCTCATTTACTTCAAGACCAGCTTCTCACTGAAATCTACTTTTCTGTTTTCTCATTTTTTAAAAATAAACAATGCCAATGGCTTAATGTTGACCTATGGATTTCTACAATCTGCCATCCCAACAACAGAATATACTTGTTTATGTTTAAAAATGATTTTTTTTTCTGCAAGGAAAGATGTAAAAGTTTACTTTTGATGTCAGTGCTCATCCTTAGAATGAATTTGATTTATCAGCTGGAGATGAATTCTATGAACATAGGACAAGTCTGTGTGTTCCCTGGACCAGTCACAGAGGAATAAAAGAGCATTAAGTTAGCTAATTGACTATGCAAGTCCCAGGTACCATTTAAGATAAGCATTAAAGATTGATGAGGGATACATATATATATTTGTTTTATAATCCAGGCTCAAAAGGTTATAATGAATAATGATAAGACATCAAAATGAAAGTATTCTATAAACTGGAAAGTTCCATGTTAATAATGGATATTAAAGGAGGGTTAAATTTTAAAATAGGTTGTGTACTGGAGCTCTGACCTCACAAAGCTTTATTTTTATTTTTTATGATGATGGAGCTTGAACCCTCTAGCACCTCTAACACTGAGTGAAACTCCCAATCCTTTTTTAAAAATTTGAGACAGGGTCTTGTGAAGTGGTACAGGCTGGCCTTGAACTTGTGATCCTCCTGCCTTAGCTTCCTGGATCACTGGGATTACAGGTGTGCACTATTGTGCCAGGCACAAACATTCTTTTGGATCAATCATCTGAATATGCTATGAAATCACCTATTGATAGCAAAGAGAAATACTTGACGACTGGAGGAATCTTCAGTTTATCAGTGTGCCAACTCTGTCAAGAAAATCAAGGCAAATGTGAAAAAAGTCCCACAACAGTGAGAGAATTATAACACAATATGTAGAATAATATAAACTGTACAACTGTTTACTTTTCAATGACTTTCATATTGATTAATGTGAAAGGGAATGTTTGATAATACACTTATTTGTTTTAACTTCTTAATGTTGAGTGGATCAATCTGACAAGTTATGTAGAGCTGAGAGTTACAAAGCAAGGAATGATAGGATCAGAGCTGTTTTTGGAACATTCACCTAGAAATAGGATGTTCTGGAGTATGGAGAATGGAAATGTTTTATAATGTGATAACCGAGTAATGATAGCCCTCAGAATTTCTTATGGATAAAGACCAAAGGAGGAAAACTGCTTAAGTCATGATTTTTTAAAAAATATCACTTATTTTTTTTAAAGTGAGAGAGAGAGAGAGAGAGAGAGAGAGAGAGAGAGAGAGAGAGAGAGAAAGAGAGAATTTAAAAAAAATATTTATTTATTTTTTTTAGTTTTCGGCGGACACAACATCTTTGTTTGTATGTGGTGCTGAGGATCGAACCTGGGCCGCACGCATGCCAGGCGAGCACGCTACCGCTTGAGCCACATCCCCAGCCCAAATATCACTTATTCTAAAGTTAATTGGTTAATTGAAAACTTTTCTTTGGTTAGGTTTTCAGTAAATGAAAGAATATTTGTATTTCATAGGCAGGCATTAACTTTACTTTTGTCTACATTTCATACTTTACGAAGAGACACAGTTCAGCATGACATGTCATTTTTCATGACAGTCGCTCCACCTAAAGCCAACACTGTTCATAATATTGTGTTTTTTACAATGTGTGGCTAAGGATTTAGTCTACGCTGACCTATGTACACATACATATTCCAATATGTCCTTTGTATTGGTAAATAATCTCAGATATTATGATCTGGAAAATTGGTGATTCAAATCTATTTATAATTATATATTTTTTGAACTTGCACAAACACATATACATATTTAAATTGATAAAGTCACAGTAAAGACTTGGGACAATTTCCCTGATTTGAGAAGGAGCATGTGATTCAGGAAAAGAATGAGGCCAAGGAAGACGGGTCTTTGGACCCTAGGTCTGCAAACCTGTTCATAAAGACCCAGGCAGTATGGATCACATAGTTTCTGTTGGGTATTTCCCATTTCACTCTTCTTTTGCTTCTTTCCCCCTCTCCTCCTTCTCTTTTTCACCTTAATTTTTCATAGTGCCACCCTTTAAAACTGCAAAACCCATTCTTACTTCTAGGATAGTAGCAAGCAGGCCTTAGCAGGGCTTTGGCCTGCGGGTCAGAATTGCCCCCCATGTTACCTCCTCACCTGGACTAAGGGAAAGCATTTATATCAAGAGGCTGCATGGCTGGACCACTTGATTTTTAGTGTCTGCTACTGATCCTCTTTGATTGCTTTGCTAGTCACAGCACATATTTGGGATTTGTTATACTAGTTGAGGTGAGAAAGGCTAAAGGAAGGACACACTCCCTTTTAGAAGCTTATTAAATACAACCTGAAAGTCAGATTTGGGTTTAATATTACTTTGACACCTAGAGGTCAGAGCTCCCAGTAAAGCTTTTTTTGTTGCCATTTGACCACTGTCTGTTGGGCTTCCATCTTGCAAAGTCAAAACAGTCTCTAAGGCTCTTAGAGGGCATTGCTTTCTACAATTAATATAGCTACAATGAATAATCAAATGGAACTAGGAAATGGCTCAAAGCGGAACTGGGTTGGCAAAAACCACTTTCTAATTTGCACCAGGTCTGCATAAGGGCAGTAAGCAAAAGTTTGGGCAAAGAGCCAAAAATCATTGTCACAACAATACACAAAACACTTGTATTAACAAGCAAAAGGTAACAGCTAACTAGTCCTAACAAGTAATATTATGACTCAAAGAAGAGTTGCAGTGTCAATGAAATGATGGTGGCTTTTCAGGGAATAGAGGATTGAGCCAATTAATTGGAATTACTACCCACTAATTTGGATCAGCGATTTACCAGGAAGGGATTCTATATAATCCAACTTTTAAAAGAAACCATTGGCTCCTAATAAGTATTAAATAGCAATAGAATAACAGGATCATGCCCAATAAGGCAAGATGAGATCCTATTAAAATCTACTCAATTGTGGGTCTTTAAAAGAATAACAGACAAAATCAGTCAGGTAAGTTGGACCTGCATGGGAGGGAGCAATGCACTGCTCAGAGTAACTGAAATATTGTAAAATCCTTCAGGAATTATTTTCAAGAAAGGCTATTTTATGAAGGTTGGAGGCTGCAGTGGCTAGGGTTTGGTAACACAAAGCAGTCACAGTCCTGGAAGACTTATTGGTTTCTGAAGAGATGGATGGTTTGTACACACTTCTGCTTCTTCTCCAGTCCACTTTAAAAAAATGGAGTAAATTCATGAAGGCTAAAATAACAGGAAAGAGGTGAGAAGGAGCAAATTCTGGAAGGCAGATAGAACAGTGTTAAAACTTACCAGAAGCCCTAGTCAGAGAGCTGAGAATGAAACAAATTAACACTTGCAGAAGCCTCCACCAGGAACCAAAGTGTGGGTTGATTATCCTCTGCCTGGGAGGCAGGCTGGTGCTCCACCCTTTCCCATTCCTCAGCATTTGGCAACTGCCCCACCCAGCCTGGAGAAGAAGGTCGCTGGACTGAAGGTCATAGGCCCAGTGAAGGGTGGGTCAAGATGCTGCAAACCAAATGTATGCACAATGAACCTGGGGACCCCTGCCCTGCCCTTACTGTGTGGGCAGTCAATCCTGTTTTCTCCCAGTGATGAGAGTGAGGAGTTTCCTCTGTGCATCAGAGATTTTCCAGCTAAAAGGCCTTGTCAGGTCAGCCCATAGTGATACAGGCAACTATGGTTAAGCTCCAACTGTGCTCTCAAAACTCCCACTTTGCTGTTTAGGCCCCCACTTTTAAACAGAAGCAAAACCCAAGAATTATCAGACAGATATGTGAGGAAAATCACATACAGAAAAGGTCAAAATCAGAACAAATAGAAAAAAAAGGCAACTTGAAACAGAACAAGCCAAGATGAAAGAATTTTAAAAACAAAACTGTCAGTAAGATTGGCAGCCATTATGAAGTCAAACAACAACAAGTGCTGGAGAGGATGTGGGGAAAAGGGTACACTTGTACATTGCTGGTGGGACTGCAAACTGGTGCGGCCAATCTGGAAAACAGTATGGAGACTCCTGGGAAAGCTGGGAATGGAACCACCATTTGACCCAGCTATTGCCCTTCTTGGACTTTTCCCTGAAGACCTTAAAAGAGCGTACTACAGGGATACTGCTACATCGATGTTCATAGCAGCACAATTCACAATTGCTAGACTGTGGAACCAACCCAGATGCCCTTCAATAGATGAATGGATAAAAAAA